CACAAATACTTCTTTATATTATGTTATTCATCAAATTATGGTATGTGTTGATTTCATCCTTACTCAGAATAGCTGAGAGATCCAAAGAACCCAATTGTACAAGAGAGCCAGGTGTGGCAGCTCACACCTTTAATCCCAACCCTGGAGAGGCAGAATCATTCTCAATGAGTTCCAGGCCAGCCTGGTCTACATGATCAAATTTGTAGAGAAAACCCGTGTTTGAAAGGAGATGGGGGAAAGAGGAGGGGCATGTTCTGTCTAATGTGGACAAAATTTCTGATTTTGCAAGCTGATAAAGTTCTTAAGACTGGTGCTGTAAGTTATGAGTGACAGCCTGTCTCAAAAAAAAGGAAAAAAATGTAAAGAGTATATCTATGGTGCCAAATAAACTCTCAGGTCTATGTACCTTAATCACCCACCATGGGAGAGCTACACTTGAAGGCTCCCAGCAGTTGGCCCCGTAGAGCCTGTGCAGGGGAATAATGGGGGTGGATGAGAGCTAGAGCAGGTCCAAGTCTCCTTCTTTCTCGGGGAAACAGCCTCCTGGACAAGTGAGCCCAGCACCTTCTCTTGCTCTGACCGATCTCATCCTCATACCCGGTACTGAACTGAATTGACAGGGGACAGGACGTTGACATGTCTCGCAGTACTTTGAAATAGAATGTGTCCTCTGCTGGACAACAAGAGACCGGGGCAGTATAAAATTAGGAACAAACCCAATTTTTTTCCTGTGGTCCTCTCCTGTCCTGTGGTTATGTCTCGCATCCAGAAAGAATGCTCGGTAGGTGGCGCTCGTTCTCCACTCTGCAGGTAGTTGAGCTTAAGTGCGAAAGCTCAGCTCCAAGGGAAAGTGTTTTCAGTGGGGTCAATTCTTTGCATCTCAGACTTGAGAACACTACTTTATCTCTAAACCCAGTGGGTTTCTACTACCTTGCCGTCCCACTCCTGTGCGTAACCACGCATAATTCATTTTTTTTTTAAAAATGGTCTCTCTTCTTTACTAGGTTTACTTTCAACTCGATCGAAGGCCTGAGCCCGCTCGCTGCATTGTCAAACGTCCATAACAGAAAACATCATTAAGCTTGCGTGCTTTCTTTGATTTCTCCAGGCTCAGAGAAGCTATTTTATAATGAATAATCAGGAAAAAAAAGTAAAGAAAGGTTTAACGAGGAAAAACATGAAGGCTAACGAAAACAAACAGCTACGTTGGGAAATTCAGCTTGATTGGCATTACAGACAATTTTGAACCCTGATTTAGCCACCCACTGACGACCTTGAGTCGGCTTCCCCAGCGTAAAGCAAGAATGAGTTCCCACTCACCACCCCCCCCCGAGTGTGTACTTTGCATAAAGCAGTAATTTCCGACTTCTTAGTGTTGGCGATACCTTGACCTGAATTCTCTCTGCAGTTTGATAAACCAGAACGCTTTGAGTGAAAACCCTGCTGAGGGCCGGCTGACTTGGGCACTGGGGAACCCCCCCTCGCTTCTGCTGTTTTGACCCCTGGTGTATTGAGGGTGCTAGTAGAGCTCACGGGACTCCTGAAGATGAGGACAGCCAACCCGCAGAGAGACCCTAAGGCTCGGGTGAGCCAGAAAAAGCCCTGTATTCCTTCTCCTTTGCTCCCGCCGCTTTACTGTCAGATGAGAGAGCCCGGCTCTAAGCCTGCTTTTAAAGGACTAGAAACTGACTCCATCCAGGTCACAGCGCGGAGTGTGTCGAGCGGGCCTGTAGGAGGTCTGCGCCCTGCACCCTTGCTCCGGGAGCAAGTGGGGGGGGGGAGGGAGGCTGGGGAAGGCGGGCGTGGTAACCTCTACTCCCAGGGTCAAGAGAGGTGCGGGTGACCTCACACCCAAGCGTCGCCACAGCGTGACCTCGGTAGATGATTCCCCTGCCGGCTGGCGCTCCCCAGAAGTGCATGCGTGTTTACAGAAGCAGGGGATTCTCCCAAGCCAGTCCCCGTGGCGTTCCCATTCTCAACTCATCGCCCCTGCGGCCCAAGCTGTCTAGGGGACTGAGGGCGCCGCACGTAGGGGGCGCGCGGGAACCAGACTGCTGAAGAGGAGCTGGACCCGCGCGGGATCCTGGAGAGGAGGCCGTTGGAGTTGGAACGGATGGAGTGGGAGGAGAAGGGGTAGACGTCTTTGAAAGTGTGGGATCTGGGGTAAAGGAGGAAGAGCGGACCCGGAGACAGGCTCAGGGTGCGGACAGATCTTGTCGCAAATCACGGTTCCCAGCTCCTCCGACTCCAGGCCAGCCCAGGCCAGAGATCGGAGTCAGCCACCCAGGCCAGGAGCCTCTTGGCGACCACGGGTTTCTGAAGCTAGCTGCCAGGCCTGGAGGCAATCACCCTCGTTGTCCTCCACTTCCAGACCTCCTCTTCTTGTCCCCGCTGACCTCTAGAGCTGATTCTAACTCAGGATACACCCAAGGTACTTCAGTGCGTCCTGGAGGTCTCAGCGCGTAGCTCCCAACGCCTTTTCATTTCTTCCCAAATTTTCAAATCTTGTTCTTTTTAGGAGCTTCCTCGGTTTGTAGCTCAGAAACCCTGTGTTTATCTTCCTCCAAACACCCTCCTCCTGGCCCTGCCTGCAGCCATCACTCACTAAACCTAAAAATCTACTAACTTCTGCCAGCACCCTTTGCTCAGCCCCTCTAGGAGACGCGGGTTGAAACTACTTCGTTATTCTCATGCAAACACAATCAGCGCTGACAGCTTCTAAAATCACTAAACAGTGGCTTTCCCTGCATGCTTCGAAAACGTCTGCCACCTCTGTGGCAACTGTGGTTTGAGTCTCTCTCTCTCTCTCTCTCTCTCTCGTTATTTCTGCCTTTCTGCCAATAAATGGTGATCATTACTTCAAATAAGTAAGTATATTGTAGGGATAAGTCCATTTAACTCTAGCACTCAGTCATCCAATCTTCAGATATCCTTGTCCATCAATAGGTCCGGAACTCACTGATTTTTGCCTCCACTGATTCCTATGACTGCGCACACGCATTATCCTCCTGCCTAACCTCATTTTTCTGGCAATCTATGTCCTTGGTCCCTAAAGAAAATTAGCTATGTACATTCTCAACACCCCAGGATGGGGTGGAGAGAAGAGAAAATCAATTTTAATAAAGCATGCAAACATTGGAGGAAGGGTGGGAGGCTTCATTTTGAAACCTCATAAGCATTTTGTTGGGTCCTCTTCCTGGCCAGGAAGATGGTCCCTTGGCTGTTACACTTGCCAGATACTAACAACAAATTGAAATCTTTTCCTCAAAACTTGCACAACTCTGAAGAACTATATAGAGCTGTGAGAAAGCATCACCCCTCAACCCCAGTGTATCCTGCAGCATCTTTACAGGGCAGGAAAATAGGCAACCCCATCATTGTTGCCTACAACTCTGACTATCCTTCCCAGGCGGACAACTTTGAATAAATATAACGACTTCTCGCCTGCAGTGCAGAACCAGCCAGAGGAAACTGCTCCGGGTGGCGGTCCTGATTTTAATGACACCAATGGAGCAATCTCCATGGCTTATTAAACTAACATCACAATTATTTGAACGTATTCAGTGGTTCAAGTTTGTGTATTGGATGTTGTTAAACCTCTGGTTAAGTTTATGCAACAGTGAAATATGTCACTTGAACAAACTTTATTAAAAAGAAGTTATATAAATAGGCAACGTACGTTTGACATAACCACAATATTTGTATTTTGTATTGACTTCCTTCTAGTGAGTAAAACGATGCGATTCATATTTTTAAGGACATTAAGTATTATCATTCTCGATGTCACTGCTGTGTAGTTCCCAGATAGCCTCTTTTAAAACTTATCAAGTTCTGCTCAACACAGAAGAAACAGAATATTTAAAGAACACATTAAATGCTTTTGGGGGTGTTTTCCTTGATGTAAGACATTAAACAAAGTCCAATTGAATTCAGCGTTGACTGCTCAGGGAGAAGGACACCCTGCTCCAGAAACTGTCCCCAGGTGCTTCCAATTCTTCGCCTGTCTTAGCACTTATATAAAGTTTTTTAACCTAGGTTTTTAATTCACCTACAGAAATTCAATCTAATCAAGCATAAGGAAAGAAAAATATTTAATAGAGTGATTTTAACTATCAGATTATTTCAGGAAAGAGCATTAACAGTGAAAAAAACGATGAATTTTGTTCTTCGACTCTGGGCTCCTTCCTAGAGAACAGGAACTACACGTCACACATGTACACGCTTTCCGTTGAGTTTTCCCCGAAGATCTGAACTGGCGGCTCTGGATTAGGTGGCTAGGTGAGCTGAAATGAGAAAGGAGGTTTCCGGATAAGTGTCCCTCCTTATTGCTGAAGGGTGCATACAGAACCAGGCTTAGGGAGAGAAAGAGGATAGGGTTAATTCAGATCCTGTCTTCAGCTGCTCAACGTGAGTAGCAGTGTCTTTTAAAGTCAACGGCCCCCAGTTGGAACCAGCCAATCCACTGCCCGGAGAGCCCAGGACAGCCAGTGAAGGGGCGTGGCCTGCTGCTGTCGCTCAGTAGTGAGGAATGACACTCTGACGGGAGGGGGGTACAGTGGAACCCAGGAGAAGGAAAGAGAAGAAACAGATAAAACCGGGGCAGAGGGTAAAAAGGTTTCCCGTTCTTCTCCAATTTTAGGGGCCTCAGCTGTCAGCGCGGGCGCCAGAAGGGTGGGCTCCGGAAGAGCCTGCCCAGAGGGGAAGAGGGAGGACCCGCCAGGAGCGAAGCCCTGCAGGCGCAGGCAGGGAAGACAGAGGCGCAAAGAAAAGTGACTTGGGCCGTGCGCCGCCGCGGCGCTCGGGAGGCGATTGCTGACGCCGAGAGGACCCTTGACAATTCTTACTGGCCTTTCCCGCGGGGACAGACCCGGGCTGGCCCCCGAAGGCCACGGGAGATGAGATAACTAGTCCAGCTGCGGGAAGAGAGAGTCTGGCGCTAGATTTGGGGGGGAGGGGGTCCCGGCGAGGTGGGCCTGTTAGGTGGGGGTGAGGGTCGCCCGGGATCCTGGGACTGAGGGGGGCGGGGGCTGCTGAACTGCGCAGGAGTGGGCTGCAGGGGCCTGGCGCTCCCCTCTCACTCGTGCTGCGGTCGCCCAGCGCTCTCTGTCAGGCTCGAAACTGTCCCCGCGACCCAGCTGCCCGCCCGGCCGCCGGCTCCGATCCGTGGCGCAGATGGCTGTGCGCAGCGCCAACACCTTGACGCCCTTCTCCATCCAGGCGATTCTTAACAAGAAAGAAGAGCGCGGCGGGCTGGCTGCGCCCGAGGGGCGCCCGGCACCCGGGGGCACAGAAGTGGCGGTGGCCGCGGCGCCCGCCGTCTGCTGCTGGCGGCTCTTTGGGGAGACCGACGCGGGTGCACTGGGGGGCGCCGAGGACTCTCGGCTGGCGTCTCCCACCCGAACCAGAACAGCTGTGGGGCAGACCGCGGAAAGCCCGGGAGGTTGGGACTCGGATTCAGCTCTGAGTGAAGAGAACGAGGGCAGAAGGCGCTGCGCGGACGTCCCGGGAGCCAGCGGAGCGGGTTGCACCAGGGTGACCCTGGGCTTGGACCAGCAGATCTGCGAGATGCACGCTGCCAAGGACTTGGAGGAGGAAACCCCGGTCCGCAGCGACAGCGAGATGTCAGCCAGCGTCTCAGGTCTGCTGCGGGGCTTTCTCCGGAAATAGGGCTGGGCTGAGGGGATGGGTTAAGAGGTCAAGCACTCCAAGGCGGGGTGGACCTGCTGGGGGAACATCGTGCCCTGCAGGACTTAGTCTCTAAATTCTGCACGTTGGCACACACTGCCTGGAGTCTTAAGAAACTGAGCTTCTTAGAGTCGGTCCTCCTGGTACCATGTGCCCTGCACCCTATACCAAGAGCTTTGAGTTCATCTGCAGTGCCTCCGCTGTATCCACTTTAATTCTCTAAACTTAACAGAGACCTAAGGTAGACCGTAACTTCCCCCAGGCCCAGCTGTTGTTGTCGACTTCAGGTCCTGTCACAGTGTAAGCTTTGGAAAGAGCCCATTTAAATTCCCTCACCCCAGGACTGATTGAGCAGCCTGTGGCTAAGCATCAAGGAGCTAAAAACAAAACAAGCCGTTACCTGAAGCGGAAGATGGTGGGAAAGTGTAATCCAGGTCGTCAGGGAGGGACTCAAGAGTCCAGCCTGTTTATCCACTAGCGGGTGCTTTTCTTGATCTGAAAGCCCCGCAGCTGGCTTCTACTGGGTGCACGCTGCTGTAGGCCTCACACTGGCTCAAGGCAGGCCCGTAACTGTGACCTCTCGGCTCGTGCTCAGCAGGGAGCCCAGGAGGCTGGAGGAAGGGGTTCAGACCAGGGAGAAAGCAGAGTCTTCACTACCCACCCACTCCCTGCTTCCCTCTATTTTCTTGCAAAGAAGAGGGAGTCAGGTGGCGCCCAGGCTTTGCTGCTACACCCTGTCGCCATACCCTTGACAGCAATCCTGGGCTTATGGAATTGAAGACTCTATATAGCTCTGACCTCAAGATCTACACCCTCCCCCCATCTTCCTCTTTCGTGTAGCCAACGGATGTGTATGTGTGGGTGTGCAGAAGTGTACGGCCTGGAACTGGGAAACAGAAATGTAATGTAGAAAGCCAAGATTCAGAAGTGATACTCTCAGACGAAGTACCCTACCTTACTGCAGGGAATCTGGGGCCTGGAGAACTTCAGGGAAAGCTGTTCCCCTACAGCTTTGGCATACACCGCGATAGAGATATAGAATTTGAGAAGCGAAGGGGACCGAGTTCTAAAACAGAACTCTCTGGAACCTTTGAGCCCTTTCGGTAGGCTCAAAGCGGGTTTCCCTTCCCAGTTCTCCCCAGAAACAACTGTCATTGAGACCTATCTTCATCTCTGCGAGTCTGACAGGTTCTTGCTTTTTCTTCCTACCGGAATCCGCAGGCGACCACAGCCCAAGAGCTGAGGACGGTGGTGTTAGTCCCGGAGGTGTACGCGTGCCTGGGTTATGCAGCGCTGCCAGCAGCGGGGCTAGCGGCGGGCAGGCGGGCGGCGTGGAAGAGGAGGAAGAGCCCGCCGCCCCTAAACCTCGAAAGAAGCGCTCTAGGGCAGCCTTCTCGCACGCCCAGGTCTTCGAGTTGGAACGCCGTTTTAACCATCAGCGCTACCTATCCGGGCCGGAGCGCGCAGACCTGGCAGCTTCCCTTAAGCTCACTGAGACGCAGGTCAAAATCTGGTTTCAGAATCGTCGCTACAAGACCAAACGCAGGCAGATGGCGGCAGACCTACTCGCCTCGGCGCCCGCCGCCAAGAAAGTGGCGGTAAAGGTTTTAGTGCGTGACGATCAAAGACAGTATCTGCCGGGAGAGGTGTTGAGGCCCCCCTCTCTTCTGCCACTGCAGCCATCCTACTACTACCCTTACTACTGCCTCCCGGGCTGGGCGCTGTCCACATGCGCGGCCGCGGCTGGTACCCAGTGAACCGCTTGGGGTGAGGCAGCAAATGATCCCTGCGCTCCAGTTTGCACCACCGCGGACAGGTGTAGAGACTGGACTCCGTGTTGCAGGAGAGCTCTTCCGGGGAGGTAGGCAGACCTCAGGTGGAGAACGAAATCCTGCTGGAGCTTCCCTACCCAGGGTGACCTGGCAGTGGAACTGAGGCTGCCCAGAGAGGGGGCTTTATTCTGATTTGAACCGATGCGCCCTATGACCCCTGGCCCTCTGTACACCTATCTGCAAGCCTCGGGACGCTATTTATTATCACAGAAACGTTGGATTTGGATTGTGTCTGCCTGGGGCTGGTGAGAGCAGCCTGTTTGCCCAGAGCAGAGAGGACTCCTGGAGACCCCATAGCCTGAATCCTCAGAATCCCGGGGGGCCAAGCGCTTTGTGCGCTAGGCCACACTAGTTCATGGTATCCATGCTACCGATCTGTATCTACATATCTTTAATTTTTGAAAATTACATTTGTGACAAAGAAGTACAAAATTCTGACAGTTCCAGGCCAGGAGTTGATCTGAACCTCGAAGGGTTTGATTTTGGAGACCTCTACTCCACCCCTCGTGGGGCGCCCTCCTGGATGCCGAATGTAAGAAAGGGAGTCTTTCAGCGCGGGGGCCAGCCAGGGGATCCCCTATACTTTCCCTTGCTATAAGTTCAGGGCCACACCCAAAGGGAGAGCGCCTGGGACCATCGTAGAGAGGCCCGTCGCTGGGAAAGTACCCTTTCAGAAGCCTGTCTTTATTTCTTTCTCTTTTTTCAAAGAAGGTTGAGACTTGTAGCACTTTCCGGTTGTTTGTATTCAAATAACGATTATTTTTGTATTCAATGTGAATATCCCTGGCCTGCATTTCCGCGGCTCTCTCCACCTTCTCCTGTACCTCTGTTTCAACCCCCACACCCTCTGTGCCTTGCTTGTTTCAGAGACTATCTGTCTCATCAGCCTCGCAGCTTTTCGCCTCTTTAAGGGCACTGTGCACTCAACTAGAGTTATCTTTAAAAGATTTGTGAATTTTGGAAGCTCTATTCGCTGTATTTTTTTCTTTAATTTATAAACGTTTAGTTCAACATGCCCGCCCCGGGGTTTTATTTTCTCTGAAATTCTCTTGGTGTGTCTTTGGGACAAGGCGTTGGAGGCGGGTGGGCAACCCGGGTTTAGTTTTCTCTGAAATTCTCTTGGTGCATCTTTGGGACAAGGAGTTGGAGGTGGGTGGGCAGCAACGGTGGAGCATTCTGCCCCCCACTTTTCTGTCTAGGAGCGAACACTCAGGTGCCTAATCTACAGTCCCCAACAGCCTTGCTTAAACCTCCGGGAATCGCAAATTCAGGTTTGTGGAAGGGTCCCACTGAATCTTAAAGCTAATAGCCTTGTGTTCTTCAGTCCTGGGACCTCAAGTCTTGGAAGTGCCTGGACTGATTGAACCCACAGCCAATTTACATCTAAAACCCAAACCTGAAGATTCTTCTCCATGGCCTCCTTCCTCCTCTCTGCTTTCGATTTTGTCTGTGTTTCGAAGTGACTCAGCCTTTTTAAGAATGGGCTGGGAAAAGAAAGAAAAAGAAAACAAAAAAACAAAACAAACAAAAAGGCTCTCGCTGAAATTTTAAAACTATTTGGGGAGAGCCAAGTGTCAATAATGTTCCTGGGGGGGGGTATCCTGCTCATTTTACTCCTACAGGTGCGAATTTTCTTCCATCTAAAATGTTTTCAAGCAGTTCTGTTCCCTCGCGACTTGGCATCATTTGATCTGCACGGGAGCCTAGGGACAGTGAAAGGTGAGGTCAGCCACGTGTAGGAGTGCAGACAAACATGCTCCCCCGCCAAGCAAGACTCCTCAGAATACCGTAGATTCTTCCCAAGCTAAACGGTCACCCTCGCTGGCCACTTGAGCATCTTGCCATGGTGCCACATCCCCAAGTCCTGGCCTGAAACTGCCAAAACCGAAGCCTGGGCTTGTTTCAACTCACCTATAGAAGAAAGGTTGGTTTTCCTACAGCCTGCCATCTCTGGAAACCTTTCTCAGCTGTCTGGCCTCCAGGCTTTAGGGTACTAAAGGCTTTGGCAAGGAAAGCTGCAATCGCCTGGGTTGGCCTAGTCCAGCTTCCTCAAACAGCGAAAGCGCCCTAGGACAAAGACCCAAGGCTATGCTCATCTTAATGCTCTCCTAACCCCAGTTTCCAGGCATTTGGTTCCAGGGATCATTTTATTTCTATTTAAAACACACACACACACACACACACACACACACACTTGAAAATTCAGAATTAATTTTGTAATTTATCACGATGTATTCTCCTTGAAGTTTGGAGCTCTCATTGTTGGTGGCAAGTCCTCACTTCCTTTGCCCAAAGAGTGTTACAATTCAGAGTGCTCTTGAAGGGGGGGGGGTCAGCCCTTCTGGGAATGACTGTTGTTTGTCCTGTTTATTGAGGAGGAGGTTTGTGTTCAATTCCTGCAGATTCGGGACAGTTCTAGAGAGTCTTCCGTGATGGGAAATGAAAAGATGTCCAAGGTCACAGTCTCGCAGCTTCCTTTCCCCTTGCAAATCCCATTTTTTCTCCGGTGGGTGGTGTCCCTTTTTGCCAGTCTCATTGCTGGTGTCAGCCTGGGAGAGCTGCTTTCAGCTATCTGGAGCTGTCCCGGGGAAAGTTACCCAAGTGAGTTCGGTTTAATCAGTATTGTGGCAGCTGCTGGCTTACATGGTAAGAGCACTGGTGTTGCAACATACCCTTTGGGTCCAGCTCAGCCTACCAAGATTTCACACTACAAATATGATCCCGGACGTATGCACTCCTGTTGAAAATACACAATATCGTGGTAGTCACTCATCTGCTCCCCCTCCCACAATCTACCTTTTCCTTCTTTTCTTTTTTCCTTTTCATTCCTTTCTTTTTGTAAAATTAAAAACATGCTTTTCTACCACACACACACATACACACCTTGATCCGCGATCAAAGGAATCTTGGGTTATATACTTTCCATTGGCTTTGCTGCCTGGACTCTCTCTCCCAGTCACAAATGCAGCCTTGGTCCAGAATCCTTTCTCACTTCACCCTTTGGCACTTTGGGCCCTTAGTTAACATAAAGTTGCGCTTGGGTTCTGACTCCCCCCGCCCCCCCCCACACACACAGATGATTAAACCAAAGAGAAAGAAACAAGATTAGAAATGGGTTTGGAATGTGCTTTGACCTGTGCTGGAATCAATCTGGCCAGCAATATTTTATTTTCCAGTATATTCTCTCTCTCTCTCTCTCTCTCTCTCTCTCTTTCTTTCTCTCTCTTTGTGTGTGTGTGTGTGTGAGAGAGAGAGAGAGAGAGACAGAGACAGAGACAGAGAGACAGGGACAGAGCGAGACAGAGACTTTTACTCATCTCAAGGTGTGTCCTGCATTCCAACATCTTAGGTTTATGGGGCTCTCTGATCTCTAGAAAATCTCTTGTCTGAGTATTAACGGATCTGGGGAAGTTGAGGTTTTGTTGCATTTTCAAAGGCTCAATGGCTTTCTGCACGGATGACTCCTCCATACAGCTCTCCAACATCAAGAAAGCAGGCAGATGGTGGGGAATATGACTTCCAGAAACAGTCCAGAATTATCTCAAGCGTAAAGTCCTAGTGGCTCCAAAAAGCAGTCTAGCAACCGGTAATGCCAGTATCTGGAATTAGAATAAATGGTGGAGAGAAAACTGACTAGAGGGTGGCATCTGGGGGTTTCTGAGGAGTGGGACATGCCTATTCTCTTGGAGAGAGTGAATCTATGAATATTTATTTCGAGCTGTGGATACTGACTGCTTGGTAAAGAAAGTTTAAGGACTGCAGAGAGACAACCCTTCATCCAGGCCAGCAAGTGTTTCTAACTTTCTAATCAGCCATTGCCTGAGCTTAGAGTTCTGCAGGGTACTCGGTGGCACCACACTCTCTTCAACCCAAGTTTCTGTCTGTGCCTCAGCAAAAAAAAAAAAAAAAAAAAAAAAACGTGGAATCTGGCAACTACCTGCAAAGTCTGCAGAATTCAGCTTGCTTGCACAAAGCCTCCTGCCTTGCCGCATGAGTCTGAGGTGTAGGGGGAAACAGAGGGCACCTTCCTCAACTTGTAAACTGGCAGAGGAGCTCGAGGGCCCCTAAGGAGGACTAGAAGTATTCTGGCCAGCAGGAATTTTAAAAGAAAGTAGAGTAGACCTGTTTTGGGACTCAGCTACTACCAGGGGCCCTGGGACTTTATTCTAGGCAATCACTCAACCTTGCCAACTTTCCTAACTGGGAATGGCACCGAGCAGCATGGGGAGAGCAAGAACCAGCAAACACTGTAAAGAACTGAGTGCCCAAAGCACAAACCACTGCTTCGTCAGCAAAAGTTCCTAATTTGAGGCTGCCAAGATGACAACTCAAAACAATACTCAGCAATAATAGTGATGATACCGGGAACAATGGCAATTTCAGAACATTACAGGAGAAGAAGCACTTCCAATCCCTTCCTGCTGAGGATTATAGGAGCTGCCTGTGTAGGCAGGACGTCCATCTGCCAGTTGGGCTAAAGGCAGTGTGTGTGTGTGTGGGGGGGGGGGAGTGGCTTTCCCACCATCACAGGCTAGTGAGCTAAGGAGGGCCAGCCTTTCAGAATCCAGAGGTTGCAGAAAGTGCTATCTTGGAATGCTGCTCTCTCCGGGTTGGACTTGGGAGCAGGAGAGTGAATCGCCACAGTCAGAAAACAACTAAAGAGTACACAACACTGGGTATGATTACTTTTTTAACCGGTGACTTTGTTATTGACTCGACTCTAGATAAGCCGACTTGATTTACTGCACCCTCAGGGGAATCCACGCGTCACCCGTGGCCTACAGAGCATGGGGTCGACTTGTTAGAAATTACAAATCCCCTAATTAATTTTTAGTTTCCTAATATAAATGTTCAAAAAATGAGGTGGGAAAAGGGCCACAACAGGGAAGAAAAAAATTAAACAAATGGCTACATCATCGAACAATTTTTTCCTCCTGTTGTACACACAGGATTGTTTGAGTCATTAAAAATACATTTCGAAGTTATTGATTCTTGAGGTTCAGCAAGCAGGGGTGGTCCTGTGTAGAGGACACGTTTAAGTTGACTGGTGAAAATCTTCTCAGACTTACGGAGTGTTTGCCTGATGCCCACCGTCCTGTGATGGAAATGTCGAGGCTAAATTTGGTATAATTCGAGATAGGTAGGAGTTGGAGAATGGGCCCGATCCCAGAGTTAACCAAATTCCTTAGCTACGTTGAATAACACTTCTCTGTTCCCTCACTGAGATGCTCAGTTCAAAGGCCATTACTGGGTAGCAGAGAGTGCAGTCGCCTTTCCTGGATTTTCCGGTTGAAGTTGTCTGGGCCGCTAGGCTCAACTGTTTCCTCGGAAGCTTCGGAAGCTTAGGTGGATGAATGTGCTTGGGAGCACAGTTGGCCCAAGATTCCCGCTTTAGTTTCTCTGGCTCTCTCGGGCATCCCCCCCACCCCCCCCACCCCCCCCACCCCCACCCCCCCGCTAGCTTGCGCTGGCAGAGCAGTGGCTGTGGGTCACCAGGCGGTCCCTACGGTTGCTATCTCAAAGTGCGTCCGTCACCGAGTGTTCTGCCACGGCCAGCGGCAGACTGAATGCCCTTTCGTCTTTAGTGAGGATCCAGCACAAAGAACCCTTCGCACATTTCTGGAGACTTCCTGGTGAGTTCTCCTCCGCACTGTCACCTCACTCCAGCAATGGGCTCTCGACTTCCAGATGGGAAACCGTACACATGGAAAGTGGAAAGTGGTGGAGTTGAGTCCATCACCACTACACCCCCACCCCCCCACACACACACAACATCACATCACATCACATCACATCACATCACAGGCTGCCTGAAGTCCTGGAATCCACAGACCTCAAGGCAACTTTGCCTACTAAGTAGGTGAATCTTAGGTGACTATCTTCTCTTTTAGAAGCATCTATTTAAAAACAAACCTCCAACCCTTACCGGGTAATTTTGGCTTTTTATTTGGGAAGGGGCATTGTTTCATTTTCAAGGATTTGGGTTACCTCCTCCCTCTCCAGGC